TGCGTTGAGCAAGGATGCGTACGCCTGGATTATACCGCTCAAGAACAAGGAGTCGGAAGCGAGGCGGCTATCGCTAAGATAATTCGAGAGAGCGGAAGATGCCCGAAAAACTTGCAAACGGATATGGGAAAGGAGTTTTACAATGCCAATATACAGAAACTTTTGAAAAAACATAATGTTAATCATTATTTCACGTATACGGTATTGAAGGCATCGATCGTCGAGCGAATCAATCACATGCTTAAGAACGACATGTGGAAAAGGTACTGCATAGAAAAGGAGATAAGGTTTAAGTCAAGTGGTTGGGATTCAATGGATCGCATAATTCTTGGATAAACAAAAGCAGTATGATTTAATTCATTTTTTTTATTTTTACAATATATTAAAAATAAATGTACAATGTATAAATGTATATAAAGAGTCTCTTTTTCTTTCATTACATCTTTGTAAAAAAACTATATATGTATGGTAATCACGATGAAACTTATGATAATATATAAAACTACATGAAATACATACATACATACATACGCGCATACACACACACACACACACACACACACACACACACACACACACACAACATATATATATATATATATATATATATATACACATTTGATTTATTTTTTCTTTTTGTCCCCCAGTATGAGAACATATTTACCGACATATTCCGACGTACACTCGTATCATCCACTCACCGTGCTCGATGTAAATCCCAAATTGTCGTGCGACATCCTGGAGGATGGACCGCTAAGCGTTGGATGTTAAGTCACCGGCGAGTGTCCTCGGCACGCGACGAGCGCGCAACGGAAAGATAAACGGTTTCGAATGAGTGCGTACGAGGGGCGACGTTTGGTCAGACAGGAAGACAGACGAGAGAAAAGAAAAAAAAAAGAAAGAGATTTCGAGTGGCGCGCGAGGGTCGAGACGATTTAATCTCTGAAGGTCCGTTGCATTGTGCGGCGCGACAGGTACGGCCGCCGCAAGTCGACTGGTCTGACTTAGCGCGAAGTATTATTTATATAGCATCGTGTGGCGTGTGTGCGACTCGGGCTCACGATACCGTTTCGTATCCGTATCGTATCGTTTCACGGTGGCACCGAGGGGTGAGGGATGAACGCCGGCGTAAATACGTTCGCCGACTCATTCAGCCGACCGATTGACGACGACGCCGGCTCGCGCGAGCACATGGATATCATAAGGTGGTTGCGACTCGCGTTTCGCCGATCAGTAGCGATCTTGGGTGTTACGACGGCGATGCCGTCGAACGTTCGCATCTCGAGGGCGAGCGTTCAAGTCACCGAGTCCGAGCGGCGGTGCTATGCGAACGGTTCTCCCCTTGCTCGCGTCCGCGGGTTGCAAGGGTAAATGCTCGCGTGACGAGTGTGCGTCTTCGACAAGTACGCACAAATAGGATAAGCACTTTGCGCTTGCTTAATAATTTTACTTAACAAATGGCGCATTACAACAACATTTCTTTACTTTTTTTTCTTAGTCTTTCGCTCATCAAGAGCAGAAAATATCTTCGGTGTTAACGATTACAATCTATTAATGTTAGAAGTACCAAGAGATTATTTTATTTTGTCTGTTTCTATTTTTTTGAATTAATATATTTTTCTGATACCAAGATAAGATTTAAAAACTTTTTTACTTTAATATTTCATCAGAATAAAAACAGTAATATAAATAAAAAGAATTGATAAAAAGAGAAAAAGAAGAAAAAAGATATTGATTTAAAAAATAAAAATGGTTAAAAATGTTTCTTCCATCATACATATTACATTTGTTTTATATTTATAGTAGAGTTTCTCCCGTTTATAATAATTAAATATAAAAGTGCAAAGATATTTTGATGATATTTTGATATTAAAAAAGTGGTGATTATTAATCTTATTTTATTTCATTTTATTTACTGATTTAATAAAATTCATAATAAGTGCCACAGACTTAACAAGTATTTTCATTATAATAAAGATTATTTCAGACATATTCAGATTTTCAAGATATTGATAATCCCTTTCCTGTATTAAGTAAGATCTGAATTTTATCAAAGCATATGATAAATATCGCGATTGGCTAATCATTATTCTGCCAGATAGATAGATTACATCAAGATTAAACTTTCAAGAAATAAGATTTTGTTTCACCAACAATTTATTTTACAAATTTTACGGATGTAAATTATGTTTTATAAATAAATAAAATAATCAGCTTATTGCGCTTCCAATTTTTTTAAGTATTTGACATGCATGTCCAAATATTATTCCAAATATTATATTAAGTTACGTAACATTTTTCGAGATTTTCATCAATCTGCGTTGACGCAATTCTGCTATTATAGCTGAAGATAAATATTTGCTTTCATCCATGTACTACTTTCAATTATATTTCAAGATATGCTTTTCGTTATGTATTTTTATTCAAGCAAAAGCAAAGAGAAGGTGCAAGGTATTCTATGAAAAATTAAATACGCGACCCATAAAATGTACATACGTAAATGCATGCAACGATTGACGTATCAATCAAACTTGGCACGTGTTGTAATCTCAAGATGAGAATATCTTGCGGTGAATATTGTTCGCCGCAAAATGTGTTCTCATTCGGCAATACCAATAAATCATGCACGATGACGTTGATGCTTTCGATAGAGAATTTTTATCAGCCTTAGCACCGACATTTTTTAACGATGATAAAAGATGTATGCCGATTAAAGTTTCTTTTTATATCTATTTCATCTTTTCCTTAAGTGAATCTTACAATTTTATTCGAGCAAATTAACGCGACGCGTTAATTTAATTTTCTGATTTCTCAATTTCTAAACAACACATTTTTGTTTCTTCTTTTTTAAATAAAAGTAATTGTACATAAAAACGAATAAGGGATTTTGGACCGAATCACCGATAAATCATATACGTATCATTTTGACAGCTTGACATTCCGAACGAAGATATCAAATCTTGAAAAATATGCATGCTCGTCTGAACTGAAACGTGACCGGAATGCAATAATAGACATTTAACTTTATTCTTTTCCCCCTTTTTTTTTTATTTGTGCAAATAGTCTAGAAAAAAAAAAGAAAAGAAAAATGAGAGCGGTATTCTTTCTGCAAATATTATTCACGTTTTATTCGATAAGCTAATCGAGAAAGAATTTATTCGTCGAAGTGATAATCTCAAGTGAAAATTGATATCTCGATATCTTAGCGTTATTTTGCATGGTACGTTCCAAAATGTATGACGAACATCTCGTTGTAAAAAAAGAATTATTGCAGATTATTAATTAAATGCCCGGAAAAAAGTGTATCGATTCGGAAAGAATGCATTCTTCGATGTTTTTCTTATTACAGGTAGACACGTCGCGCATAAGCTATGCTGCACTGCATTAATCATTCGATGCTACCTCTTCGCCTTTCCCCTTACCGCATCCGCGACGAGTGGATGAATCAATTAACATTACGGAGAGTGTTCCGAGAAATGTTTACGCAGATATCCAGATCAAACAATTACGTTTTTCGACCTGAATTAACAGAGCGAAACGACGTTTTTGGTTTTCACGTGAACATGTCGGTATCGATGACAGTACCTGTACCTTGGCGAAAAACGATGGATTCGGGAGAGCATGACGCCGCGCGACCATGAATCCCGCGTGGGAGGTAGAGCGTGAGGTCGATGAATCTCATTGAATCACGGTCGTCCTTAAGTCTTCGCGGTTCACCTTCCAGATCGAGCATTGTACGATCGTCGCATAAATCAAGAATCGCGCGTCACTCACCGGAACGCCGTGCGCGATTTCGAAACGCTTGTCATCATTTGACCTGGATCACGTCGTTTTTTTTTCACGTCGTGAAAAAAAAATAAATACATAGATGATTCGCGATGTGTGTATTATCGTTCAAAGGATTTACAACAGGACATTTTGTATTCGTGATATAAAAATTCTAAGTCGGCTCATTTTTCACAAACAGGCAAGCAAAGTTTGCCTGTGTCTCGCTACTGACGAAACTTGATTGAATTCGGACGATATTGGACGATCTCCTATGTGTTATAATACGTTTCTGAGTAATAAATTGCTGCAAACGATTCTTAGGACTCGATTATAATTTTATTATACGGTCATTCACACTTGTAGGCGCAAGAAGTAAGGATAAATGTTGATTAATAAAATAATGCTGGCCTTAATCTCGTGGCGTGTAATTTATAATAGAATATGTCATGGTCAATATGCACGCTCACACACGCACATCTCACGTGATTTGCATACCTAAAACGAAGATAACTAAAGATTATTTTTTTCTGCAATGGCAATGCGTGTAAAATATGAAGTTAAAAATTAAAGACATTTTTAAAGACATTGCATCTATGATAATGTATATTGCATGCTTCATATATACATATACAAAAAAATTATTAGTATAATTTAATTATTACTGTAATTAAATATTCAGAGGATTGCACAAAAATCAATGTTGCTTTAAAAATAAAAGAATTATATGAATATTGAAACTGCTAATGATTTTTGGCACATGTTTAATAGCTAGATGTTAATTATTAAGTTAAGTTAATATAAAAAATCTAGAGCTTTATATTCAAATATAAAAATCTTTATGTATCTTAAAACAAGAGGAGATAAAGACGATATTAAAAGAAACATAAATATAAAACTCGATGCAAAGTCCATTGCAAAATAACATAAGAGCATATTTTTCTGTATGACTGTGCATACATGGATTATATGCCCATATATATAACTAATAACACACACGCATACACATATACATGTATATGTATGTATGTATGTATATATGTTATTTATGATTTAATTTTAAATTTACATATAATCTCTTGTCTTATTGTGGAAGCGTCACATGCACAATATATGCTCATCACTTATGCTCGTTTATCCATGTTTACAAAGATCGGACGCAACATTGCAATGAATATAATATTTTATATATTTTACAAAATAATAAAGATTTCAACAATAGCGATTAAATGTTATCATTCCAATTGGACGCAAAAATTGAAGGCATTGAACATAATAGTAAAGTCAATTGTTTCTATTGCAATGTTTATTTCCGTGTACTGTACAAAGAAATGCTCTTTATTTATAAGTTATTTCCGATTATTATATTATGTCAAATAGTATGCATGGTAGAGATAAGAAAGTGTAGTAATTTACAGAAATTTTTGGAAGATATTGACTTCAACAAGAGTGATAGTAGATAATTATAGTTGATGATAGATAATTATTTTAAAAAATAACTTGAATCTTTATAATTCTGTACTTATTGCACATCAATATCATACTAAATTCTATATATAGAAACTTAAATGCTATATATAGAAATTTTAATCTACTTTTATTTCAGTGTCTTCAATTCTTGGCAATAAATTCCTCCTTTTTTTTCTTCTTGTAGTTTCTTTATGAAACTTGGCCTCATACTTATAGTAATGTACATGTGTGTATTCGTATGTGTATGTGTGGATACGCGCGAGCATACGCGTGTATATATATATGTATGTATATAGTATATATATGTATAATTCTTAAATATTTAACAAACTTCCATGATCTAGATTACACGTGAAGTTTAAGTAAGATTCTTTCTGAAAATATTTAATAGGTTTGCAGAATTGCATACGCTATAGCCGCTATATATCTGTATTTTATGTATAGTGGACACAGTCGAAATATTCCCTTCACTGCCCAGTGTATGTTCAAC